CTTTTAAACCTTTGTCAGATAATTCTAATTTTTTTTAAGGTTGGGATTTGCTGTTCTTTGATTGTGTTCTTTTAAGATTGAGGGATTATTATCTCTTGATATGAATGATTTCCAACTGAAACATGGATAGTTCGAGTATTCTGTTATGAAATTAGGACTTCTCATTTAAATCTTTTTCTTCAGTTGACTTTTTCTAGTCTCTCCAGTGGAATAGGAGGATGATGTATTTAATGCCAGGTGGAAATGCAAGTCCAGGTTTCCGAGTGGCTCTTAGGGCTGATCTGACATAACCTTCCTAGTAGGGGAATTTCTGCTTACTTTCTCTTAATATGGCGTCATTACTTTGCTTGCATTTTACCCATCATTTTCTGCCTAGTTTCATTGTGTTTCAATTGAAAAATACTTATGAAACTCATGATTTCTATGCAGAGCTCAGTAGCAGGCATTCACAGATACTAGGGGGACTTCCAAGACACTCTGGAAAGGTACCAGTGGGAGTTGGCATGTCTGTAAGGTGCCTTGCCTACCTTCTCTCCCTCCCTCCTAGTCCATTAACATATGGTGTTACACATCTGGAGTGGTCACTTAGTAGAAAGGCTACAAAAAATTTCCTTGCCTAGAGAACACACAAAATTTTCTTGATGTACATTTTTCTCCGGTTAACTCATCATTTCTTACCAGATTCCTAAGTAAGAGACCAGAGAGGTGAAGAAACACTGTAGCAGATTAAGAATTGTGAACAAAAGTATTGCACACTCAAAATCAGCTGCTATAAAAGGATGCACGCCCGGGTTTCGGTCGCATAGAGCCTGAGTGTCACTTTGAGCTCTCTGGATGCATCGAAGTAGCTGATAAGTGCAGCAGTGAAAGGAGAAATGTCTGAGATTTGTGGCCTGCACTCCATGATCAGATTTAGATGCTCAAAACGGAAAAAAAAAATGCTTCAAAGAGAAATAAGGATTCAACAAATAAAATACAGCATGAAAAGTTAAGATCTAGATTAAAAAATGGTTATTCAGGGGAAAGAAGATGGTTTTTATATCCTGATTTCTGCTAACAAAGCATTACTAACACAGCAGCCACACCAGATCCAGGGTTGGGGAGCTCACAGAGAAGAAACAGGCTCATTGACAAGACAGCCCAGATGGGGACAGTTTATCCTTGAGATCCAGGAAATCAAATTAGAGGGAAACAAAAAATAAATGCAGAGAAATCAAAGTAGACTAGAGACATAGAGACACACACACTGGGAAAGGCCTAGGTCTGTCCTGTGGCAGCAATGCTGAAGAATTTCAGCCGAGAGGCAGTGGAAAGGGAGGCCTAAACCCAATCAGAGCTGGCTAACGTGGATTCCTTTCCTGTGGGAGCCTGGGGCCTAATTGAATCTGCAACCAATTTGTTTCTGGTGCTGCTCTGGTTTCTGTTCCAAACTCAGGCTTTGAAAACCTTACTCGGCCTATTTCATTTCACTATTTCCAGGGTTTCTGAGACAAAAAGAAAACCTAGGGCGTGCCCAAACAAAAAAAGTGTCGATTCTGAAAGGCAAAGAATCCAACCTCCCTATCCCCTCCTTTGGGTTCTTGGAGTCTTGAGAAAGCTGGGGAAAAAAGACTTTCTACACAAAGAAACTGACCTAGGACTTCTCAGAGATGGATATGATCATGCCACCCCTCTGCTAAAACACACTCAGAAACGTCATGAAAAGACCTGGTCTGTTAGCCAGAGAGAGCCGCAGGAGAAAGGCCAAGAAGCCAAGGTGGGACTGCAAAAGCTCTCTATTCACACAAACACACACACTCCACTCATTCAAGCTTGTGTGTCTGGGTTGGTCAGCACCAGAAGGTACAGAAGGTAGGTAAGAGTCAGGAATCACCATTCATCTTGAGAAAAAACACCACAGAGACAGCTGGGGAGACAGTGATACAATATAATTGCTCAGTAGGAGAATAGCCTCATGGCTACAACACACAGCATAGAAACCAAGGCAACTTCCTCTAACACGAATAATCCATAACAGCCTCAAAATGCTGGAGACTGGCAAATTCATTCTCACACTCCACCTTATTTACATCTCAAAACAAGTCCCTGGGATGGATATTACCCTCATCTTAAAAATAAAATTATAGGGCATGGGAGCTAAGTGTGGAAACTGGAGCCCCCCCTCCCAGAAACAGGCTGGGGTGTTGGGCACCTGTGCCCCCTGGTGCTGTGAGCTCCATGTAGGTCTGAGTGAAAATAATTTTAGCAAGGAACTCCTGGTACTGGTGAACTCACGGTTGCATGCGTTTTAGGGGATACCTTCATTGCCAAGGCAGCAGATGCACATGGTGCAGGATTTATGATTACTGATGCAGATGGAAATCTTTATTTCAAATAGTCCATTTCCTGGGAGCTTTTTTGTCAGCTTAGACTAGGTTGCTGTGGTAACCACTCCCAGGGGCTGGCACAAGCTCAGCCTCTTACTTCTCTGGAAAGGAACACAGACATCCACCCTGAGCTTGGGGTAACCCCTTAGTCTGACCTTGCACCTTGTTGTTCATGTGGGTCTCTGATGCTGTAAATGCAATATGTGAAATGATGGGCTATGGTGGAGGTTTTGATCATGTCTAGCTTGCAAAAGGTAACCTCTACCAGGATGAGTTTTTATGTTCCTGGAGAGAATTAACAAGTTAGGCAGCCAAGCTGCCAGACCTTTTATAAACTTTTGTAAACTTTCCCTGCACACACCCACTTCCTCCAAAGGTAGGGGTTTGGTTTTTCTTTTTTTATTTTTTTGGTTGATTGATTGGATTTTTGGTTCTGTTTTAAACCGGCTTCCCCTCTCTGTTTTTTTTTTTTTTTTTTTTTTTTTTTGCGATGGGGGAGGCAGAAAGGACAGAAAGAGACACACAGAGATAATCTTCCTCTCGCTAATTCATTTCCCCAAAATATTCGCTCACATGAGCCAGGGCGGAAGCAGGCCAAGGCCAGGATCTCCAACCTAGTCTTCCATGGAGACTGCAAGATGATGAGGTGCTTTGTCATTGGTCTGAGTTGGGTGGCAGATAAAGTAAAAGGAACAGGAAGAGCTGAGTGCCTTGAGGAAATCCTGTTGACCATAGGCTGATTTCAATTAGAGATTAGAAAAAGGCACCGTGGCTAGATTCCAACCAAAATTAGCATTAGGGAATTTTATTCTTAAGCCCCTCGGAGGCATTTTTTTCATTTCTTTTATCTAAATCTGGGTAGCTGCCCGTGCTATGGAATCAGCCAGCCAGCCCCTAAGTACTTCTTGAGCAACCCTGAAGCAGAGTGCCATCCTTTAACTGTATTTTTTTTTAAAGATTTATTTTATTTTTATTGGAAAGGTGGATATACAGAGAGGAGAGACAGAGAGGAAGATCTTCCGTCCGATGATTCACTCCCCAAGTGAGTGCAATGGCCGGTGCCATGCCGGTCCGAAGCCAGGGTCCCAAAGCTTTGGGCCGTCCTCCACCGCTTTCCCAGGCCACAGGCAGGGAGCTGGATGGGAAGTGGGGCTGCTGGGATTAGAACCGGCACCCATATGGGATCCCGGGCATGCAAGGCGAGGACCTTAACCACTGTGCCGGGCCCCCCTTTAACTGTATTTTTCTGAAGGCAAAAGCATTGTGGTCCATAGGCTTTCATTAAAGTGTTGATGCTATAGGACCCACTAGTACCTGAGCCAGAGGAACACATGAACTTAAAAGAGCCATGGTTTTTCATTTAAGGGAATGTGCAGTAACTGTGTAGTAGAGACAGTCATATCCAGTGAAGATTCAATGCAGTATGCAATCTGTACTTCCAAATCAAAGATGGACTCCCAATGAAACTTAAATATATCATGACAATAGAATGGTGGACTCTGCCATTGTCTGTGCCCACAATGTCAGGGTACACTTAAATAGCAGAATGATGGACTTATATAAGACTGCTTATGAAGGATTATACTATTGTAATAATAATATAGGTAAATCAGCGGGGGCAGGGAGAGAATTTTGCGAGGTGGTAAGGAAAAACCCAGAGTTTATGGAATTATGCCATTAAAAAAAGCAAGAAAAAAGATCGTGGGTTGAAAGAAAAGCAGTTGTGTTATGGTGGGAAGGCCAGGACAGCAGGCTCCATAAGATGCTGAAAATAAGCATCACTTTTATACGAGGCATTAGAGCACGAACTCAGACTCACTTCTTGCATTTGGTTTCTCGACGTTACTAGGCTCATCATGTCCTTCCCTGTCCCCCTTCACATCCTTCCTTTCCAACAACAAATGCTTCCTAGATTCCATGTACTTTGCATGGCACTGAGCTGGTTACAGGGATCATTATAAAGTCTCCTTAGGGTGGTGAGATGTGTGGGTCACCAGGCCAGCCTACTGAAATGAGTAGAGTTATGGGAGCTTAAGGAGGAAACTCCACTGGCACTGGAACTTCAAGGATCAGCATAGTTCTGGTGGGGAGGGTATTTAACTCAGAGGATATAGCTTCTAAAGACTTCGGAGCGAGCAGCTTAGGATGTGGGGAGATGGTGAATGACACGGTTTGCACTGGTGGGAAGGGTATGGAGGTTGCAAAGGTGGACTACCTAACAAGGTATTCTTGTCTGACAAGCAAGCAGTTCCAACTGTGTTCTGTGGTCAATGGGTGGGAGACATGGAGACAGGTGTTATGTTCATCATGGGGAAGAAGTACCAGGTTCAGGGCTATTCTGAGACTGGATTGCACCAATTCACCAGAGTGATTGTTAAAATTATCATTAAGTATTGGGGCTGGTTGATTCTATATTTGTAGTTTAAAATCAAGCATGATGGGCATATTTATTCCACAGAAACCAGCGAACATCATAAACAGGGTTTTTTTTTCTTCCCAGAGCTGGTTGTTAAGCATTTGAACACGTGTCTGAGACAGAATTCCTCAGAAGAAAAATTCACCAAGAAAACGCTCAGCCACAACCAGAAAAACAGCAGCACCAAGCGGAAGTACGAGAGATTTTGACACACTCACCAGTCTCAGATTCTTCATGGCCTGGGGAAACATGCCTTGATGTAACTGCAGTTTGCCAACTTTCATGACTTGCACACCTCGGACAGGATGGCTTCCCGGGAAAAAAATCCTGGAAGAAAACAAACGGCCAATAGTGTCAGAGCGTTCACCTTTGCAGTCAGCATTTCATCAGTAGACTATAAAAGTGGGAGCAAACACTGGCTGTGAATGTTAATGAGCCACTGAAGGGAAATTAGCTTTGCAATGTTGGAGAACTCAGTGCTCAGGGCAGTTAACACATCATCAGTCTCCAGAGCCCCAGTAAGTCAAGGTCAGGACTACAATACCCTTCTAATAAATGCTAGTGTCAAGAAACAAAAGTTTGCATCTCTGCTTTTATATGTGGGGGAAGTAGGTAGGAAGATCAGGTACAATCCCATCCTCCAGGGTCTTCTATGAAGTGGCAGCAGCAACACAGTCCTGGAACCAAAGATTACCTCTCAACAGATATTTGTTGGAAATAGCAATCAAGTTTACATGATCTTCCAACTAGATACCACCATGCCCTCTCAACCTTTGAATTGGACAGCTTCTCCATTAAACTTTCATTGTGGAGTACATCAAGATCTATTTTATCATCTCAGTGGATTATAACTTTTTTTTAAAATTAAAATACCCTGTCTGTGCTCTCCATGGTGTGTCGTATGGAGGGGGAACTCCACACATATTTAATCTCTCACACAGAATAGAATAATGCGCCTTAGGGGGTCAAAAGCTGAGGACGTGTGCTGTTTCAGGCCCAGTGAAAAGTTAGCTTGCTCTAGCTCACTGCAATAATTTATTATATCAGATTCAACAAGATGTGTGCAGCTTGCAACTGTACCCTCTATTCTTAGAGAATACTAAGATCTTGCTGTCCAAAGATCCTTAAGTTTGGAGAAAAATGTAATTATAAATGTGTTTTGGTGCAATGAAAATTGAAATTGCATAGTTTTTTCCTCTTTTTTTATTGCATTTCATATTATGACATTGTTTCATAGGCTGAGGTTCCCCAACCCCTCCCCGTACCTTCCCCCATGATGAATTACTCCACCTTATTGCAGTATTACAGTTCAAATACAGTCATGCTTCTTTCATTGCAAGCATGTACCATGCATAGAGTCCAGCATCTTATTGTCCAGATCAACTCAACAGTTTATTGGGGAGACCATCTCTGGTCTAAAAGCAGAGCTGGCAGAATATGGTTCTGGCCAATTAAAAGCCATAACATAACATCAACAACAGTTTACAACATTATGGAGTTAATTGACATGGTATTGAGTGACTGATATGTTAGAGAATGCTAGTTTTTAACCACATCCTGTGACTACTTCATTGACATTTCAATTTTAATTTATATACAACTGGCTTCTATCCACCTTAAAATGGCTTTAGGATACTATTCAGCTGTCTCGTGTCTATTTTCATTTTTGTATTTAGCAGTTTATTGCATTGAAGCATAATTTTTACTGAACTTGGCAGATTTTAGGATAGTCCAAACTGGCTTATTACTTTTTAACAAGGTATATGTCAACAGTTGAGGCACAGAGCAGTTTTAGGAGGGAAAGCAGTTTTAGAAGAGAAATCTTCAATACCCCAGTGAGGAGTGACTTATTTTTGTGCTTGACTCTATGCATATGTGAGTCCCTGCTGACCGTTTCCTGTCTGGTTCTAAGCTTTCCTTGTTGTTCTCTATCTTTTCTAATCTTTTATTACTGTTTTTTTGTTTTGTTTCGTTTTGTTTTGTTTTTGAGGGGGTGCTCCGGGACAACCCTGATGGTCACTGCAGGAGAGGGTGGGGATCCAAAGTTGGAACTAAGTAAGGACCAGAGAAAGCTCCTCTCCCTAGTCCTGAAGGGAGTTTACTGTTCTGTTTCTGCAGACCGCTCAGGACTCCTGGCTATTGTTCCGATGACCTTGGATTCTGCGAGGAAGGATTTGGGCTTCTTCCATCCCATGTGGAAAATTCAAATGGGAGTGGATGACCTCAGAGTTCTCGGCCTCTGAAGGCATTCCAATTCCCTGTGGTCTCCTTGGCAGTTGGGATGTAGTCCTTGGTGCCCATATTGATAGTGCTTGGTGAGGATCCAGGAGTCTCCAGGATTGAGATACAAGCCTTCTTCTGTCTACCTGCTCCACTCTGGGGTCCCCACCTGCTCTGTACATACGACCTGCTGTTAAGAGGTTGTCAGGATCACTCTTGATTCCCCCTATATGTCTTTGTAGTTTTACTATTGTCTAGTGCTGATTCAAGTTTGTTGTCTATAAGTTACCTGTTATGTTCCTGATAGGTTATACTTCACATCTTCCTCACACATTCTAGGGAGATGGAAGATTTCTCTGCTCTCCTGCCCCATTACGAAATCGCATAGTTTTTTATAAGATATATTTTCCATGAACTTTTAAAAAGACCCCCCATAAGCATGGATCTTAAATGTTTTTGCAGAAGAATGAGTTAATCTCTCAATTTAATTTTCCATGACTTTCTGAAATCCTCACCAACATACGCTGCTCACTTATACTGTAATGATGTCCTTATGAACCCACCAGAAGTGACTAACTTGTGAATACATGTGCTACATCTCACCAAGAATACATTCTACACAAGCAGTACAGTTGACAACAGAGTGTGACTTGTTGAGACTTATGATGCTGTGACTGATTACGGGAGAGCTGAAGTTTGCTGCTGGCAGCCTGTATTACGAAAGAGCAGAACACGTATCACGAACTGAAAGAAGATCCAAATTCAAAACCCCATGTAGTTTCTACTGAAAGTGTATCACTTTAAAATTTCCTAAATTCAACCACTGTAAGTCAGGGATCCTGTAAGTCAGGGATCCTGTACTGTGCATATCTGATGGGAGAGAAATACCACACTATATAGAGGAGCTGTCTCCTCAAGGCCCCCAAAGCCCTTCAGATACAAAACAAATACACAAAGGCCAAGGTAGTAGTCCAGGATCGAACACTAGTTAGACCCAGTATCAAACATGTTGTCTATAGCACATGTTCAGTTCAAACCCGATGAAGTGAACTGGCAAAATGATGTACTGAAGAGAGAAGGGACTGACCTTTGGAGCAGGAAAAGGCTTTCCCACAGGAGTGAAAGAGGCCCTGCATTGGGTCCTAAGGATGCAGAAAGGCTTTCTAGGGGCAAAGGAGGAATATGCATCCACCCCATTGGAGTCTGGGCATAGGAGGACCCCAGGGCAGCAGCTGCTCCAGAACCACGGTGCCAGCCCACAGTTATCAACAGGATAACCCCGGGAGTTTTGGGGCTGGCCTTGTGCCTACTGTTCTAACTGCTCCCCGTCTATAAGCCTTTGGAACTGACATTTAAACTCTGCAATACTGTGGAGGCCAAGCAGATTTTACTGGGGAGACAGGTACGGTCTCTGGCAAGTCCATACCCTACCCAAGAACCTGCAATCTCCCTTCCCCTCGCCATGAAATGTGATATAAAAACTTTTTATATTCTTGTTCTCAAAAAAGTACAAAGCAGTACCTAGGAGGAAAATATCTGACCAATAGAAGGCTGGCTATGTCTCTTTTAAAGACCTGAAGAGGGGATAAAACACAAAAGAGACACCTGGATCTTTGAGTTTTCTTCCTCTCTTGGGTATGCCAAGAGGTCAACCACTTCACCTTTTACCCCTGACAAAATGAACATCATTATCTTCTTGTGTGGGAAAGTTTTAAGACCCCCCCCAGACAAAAGCCTTAAGTGCAGGATGCTATTATCAGAGGGTAATTGCGCAGGACACTTTCCTTGAAAAGCACACCTGGATTGGAGATTTTATTTTATGGCTATGAATGTGGCATAATTAAATTTAGAGGCCAAAAAGTAATTTTATACTAATAATCACTCCACTAAGTGGATGTCTGTCATGTCAGTTAACAGAAGGGAAAAAAATTCTTCTGTTCTGTGATGGCACAGAAAAAGTGGTATGTAATTATGCCGTGACAGGTCTCTGCCCTGGTCACTTAAAGATATGAAAAAAAAAAACCATGAAGTAGAGTTTAATAAGCAGAGCAGAAGAGGGGGTGTCTGGCAGAGAGGACTTCAACATCAATATTTATGGAGCAGTCTCGCAGCTCTGGCTAGAGTGCTGATTGTGGGCCCATTTTTGCAGGCCCCGCAGGTGACATACGGAGTATGAATCATGACTGCTGCTTGCTCTAACAGCACCCCAAGGAAAACCCTGCAGGAAAGCTCACTAGCAGCTCACTGCTGCTAGTTCTCCACCGAAGGTACGAGTGTTCATCAACTTTACCATGTGTGGCAGTGGTGAGAAGGGAGCAGGACCTGTTCGTGAATGTCAGAAATCAAGGCCAGAATGAAAACCTAAACTGAGGAAGGAATTAGAAGTGACTGAGGACTTAGAGAACTGAAAAAGGATCTGGGCGAGAAGGTGATGGAAAGCTGTACCTCCAAGATGCTGGGGTCTGAACCCAATGCTGTGACGGTTCAAGGCGGCTCTCTAACCTTGGTTAGCAGGTGCACACAGGTAAGTTGCAGAAATGAGGCAAAATAAACCAGGACAAAGGGGGACATGTGCCTTCCCACGCTGAGGAGCAGACAATTGGCCCTTTGGGAACAGCTGGGACTTAGTGGTGAGGGTTTGGGCCGAGCTGGGGATGGTTCAGATGATGGGTCCCTGGAACAAGCATGTGGGGCATGGGAAGGGACAAGAGGCTCGGGTGATGGTTTAGGAGACAGGATGCACAGGGCCAGTGAGCACACAGGCCAGGGGAGGGCCAGGAGGTGTGGAGGCATCAATTGAAACTAAGAAGCTTGGGTGTCCCCTTATAGACAGTTAGGCACTGCCAAAAGTGGCTGAGGGTATTTCACAGGGAGAGGAGACAGAGTCTTAAGACACATGGCGGCAGTGAGAATAAGAAAGAAGAATTCGAGAAAAAAAGATGACACGACAGTTTCAACCAGACCTGGGCCAGTTGAATATCACAGAACCTGTACCAGTTCGGATTATCCCAGAACTAACTCCAAGACTCAGAAATAACAATATTCATAACACACACACACACACACACACACACACACACACACACACACAGTTATATAATGATGAA